GGCCACATTTGGCCCTTTAGAGCGAAATTGTTTCTTGCTAATGGGATCAAATGTTTAGTTAGGCCCAACAGGGTCTTTGGGCCATGGATCCTAGAAAGTCAGAAGTTGATTTGACCAAAATAAGTTTTGGACAAATTCAAAATTTGAATTTTGAAATTTTTAATTTTGAAATTCGAATTCAAATTTAATTACGAAATTCGAAATTTAAATTTTGAAATTTGAATTTTGAAATTTTGAATTTCAAATTTGAATTAAAAATTTGAATTACGAACTAGGATAACAATGAAGTTTAAATTTTGAATTTAAAGTTTGAAAAGTTTAAAATTTGAATTTGAAATTTGAACTCATGAGATTGGGTTGTTGATTGATATCTAATGGAGATTGGATATAGATTTTCTGAACAGTTTTATTTGAATTTAGAATTGAAACAATACTGTTGGAGCTACAAAATGGAGAAGATCATGGTGATGAATTTCGAAATTTTGAAGATGGTTCTTCTAGAATCTAATTCAAAATTTCAACACTTGAATTTCATATTTTCAGCTCTTGGAATTTTTCGAAATTTTGGAGCCTCTGGAGAGATGTTGATTTCGAATTTTTAGCAAAATTGGTGGAAGAGATATTCTCTCAAACTACTCAATCTTTTAATATCTTTGAAGATTTGTTTTTAAATTTAATATTCTGATTTTTTAAATTAAGAATCTTTAAAGATCACTTGTGAAGATATAAGAAAGCAAGCATCTTTTCAAAGGGCTCAAGAGACTGAAAATTCGCCCCTCTCTACAAGAGAAGCTCCTCTGTGTTTTTGAATACAGATCATCACCTATTCTTCTCCATTTTCGGCCCACACCTAATCTCAAGACAACAATCATAGTCTTGAGAAAATTAATCAAACACTTGTAAATCCTCTAGCCTTCATTCGCCTAGCAAGCAATTAAGGACAAGGAGGATCAAGGAGAAGAGTTCTCTGCTGTGACATTGGAGATAGCTGTGTGGACTATCATTAGAGGGCATCATCCTTTTGAAGCCTACAAGAGATCAGAATAAGGTAATTCTAAATCCTCTCGTGTTTCAATGAGCGTTTTCTTTCTAAATCACATGAGGGCATAGATTGTCTATGCATTCCGCTTTCAGAAATTTTTTTATTTTTCCCTCATGTAGGCATATCATTGTGCGACAATGATGGTGCTAAAGTTTCGAACTTTCACAAACTTACGAAGTTGAGACACGTCACGTCGTGGGTGTTGGCCAAGTTCGGAGGCAAGGCAAGCCGATAGGCAACAGGTCCTACTCTACCAAGTAACTGGTATGGCCCAAAGAATTGCGGGCTCAGCTTCCTCACTCCATGTGCCTGAACAACACCGGTGACAATGAAAGTCTCACAAACACGTGATCACCCTTATTGAACTCCAGAGGATGATGCTTAACATCAATGTAGTTCTCCTGGCAACTCTGCGCCTGCTTCAGCTTTCCTCTGATCATATGAATCGGCTGGTGGTAAATTGGACAAGGTCCAAGACAACAACTCTTTATCTCCAACCTCAGACCAACAAGTAGGAGTTCTACACCTCGTACCAAACATCGCCTCGTAGGGTTCCTTGCCCAGGCTAGCAAGGAAAACACAGTTGCACAAAAACTCAATCGATGCCAGGTACCTATCCCATGCTGGTCCCTGCTCCAAGGTGTAAGCCCTCGACATGTCCTCCAAGGTCTAGATGATCCGCTCAGTCTGTCCAACAGTCTGAGGGTGATAGGCTGTACTCAGTAGCAACTGAGTTCCAAAAGCTCTCTGCAGCGCCTCCCCGAACTGAGAGGTGAACTTCGGGTCCCTATCACTGATGATACTCTCGGGCACCCCGTGAAGACTCACTATCTCCCGAACGACCGGTTTGGCCAACTGCAATGAAGAGAAACTGTAACAACCCATAAACGTTCACAATTACTTGAACATGATGAGAACACTAGTATAGGACTTTGGGGTATTTAGTTAGGCCTTGCGAGCACTTTGCGAGTTCTGTTTCGAGGGGCAAACGACCTCCGATTCGTTATTATTTTATATGCACACGTAGCCCCACGTGTCTAGTATCTGATTACAAAAACGTTACAATTGAATTTTGAGAACTTGATTTTATTTGAATTTTTAGAGACAGCATGATCGGCCAGGAAAAATAATAATTTCAGCACTTTAAGAAATTTGAAAGCGTACAATAAAATATAGACATTAACATTTAGCAAAATCCCTAGGGCTAAAACCTTTTATTACTTAATAAACTACATAAAATAAATGGATACATATTGGTGGAGATTATATGGTGGGCTTCGGCCCTAGCTTTGTTGTAGTGAAATATTCATGTGTTTAAAGTTTGAATTGAACCTAAAGACTAACCCTTTAGGCCCATTAACATTAAGTCTCATCCAGCCCAAAAGAAACCTTGATCACCTAAGTAACTATAGAAAAAATTAAATCAAAATACTAAGTGAATGGCTGATTGGTTGCATGACATTGTGTGGTCTACCTTTTGCCCTCTTTTGCGCCAATCATCACAAGAAAAGGGCTGTCATGGGTGGTCAAATTAAGTCTGAAAAGTAGCCTCACTTCCTTCAAAATTATGATGCCTTGTAGAGAAGACAAACCTGAAAAAAAAATCTGCGCCTATAGCTTGGCATGCATGACTGCCAAAGCTGATTTCTTTCACCAAAAATCTGATTGCTTGCAAGCCTTGTGAGCAGAATTTTTAACCAATCAAATTGCATGCAAATGAAAAAGCAACTCCCCTAATCCTTCCCTCTTGTACTCATGCGCTGACCTCTTTCTTTGTGACCAAAAAATTTATGCTCCACCTACACCTCCTTGCAATTTAAAAACATCAAAGCCTTACCTTGCCTAATCATACGCTGCACATCAATGAACTCCCAGGAAAACTTGGACAACCACACTACTTCCTCCTCTCTTGTGCGCTAGCAAGAGAGGTAAGATACCATATCTGTTTCTTGCTCATTCCTTCATTAATCTTGTGTTAAACTTCAGCCATACAAGCAAAGAAGATAATCAAGTTTTGGAGAAGGAAATCTCTTCTTTTTCCTCGGTTTTCCATCATCAAGGAGGTAATCCATTTTTCTCTATCTCCTTGACCAGCCCTATCTCTTCTTTTCGGTTCTAATGAAGAGCTTTCCCTTGCATGTAGCTACAACTTGAACTTATTGCTCTAAGAAAACAACTTCTTTACGCTCTCAAGTTTTCCTCCAAAGTATCCTAGTATAGCCTTGCAAAGAACATGTAAGTACCCTCTTCCCTATTCTTCTATGCTTCGGTTCACGAGGGTATAAGGGTAGGAGTATTCCTTTCACTTTATCCTTGTTATCTCTAGTTGCATGTGGATAGAATGGATAATAAAATGTTGATAACTCTCTACCTTATAGTACTCAAGAAATGGAAATAAGAAAATGTATTGATGGGGGCTTAAAACCGTAGCACTTAAGTGAATAGAGAATGATTAGCTTTCTGTTTTGTTGAATGTTAAATAGGTACAAAAGCTCCTAGGAACTCTCATTGATTTGGAGACTCTATTGGTTAAGTATCTCAAAGATTATGTAAGTGCTTGGTGATTTAACCTTCTGTGACTATGGAATCTAAGCATTGAATTGCTTATATGTGACATATGTGCCTTATATGAATTTGAGTTTTGCGAAATATTGATCCTACTTGTTGGCACAATCCGTTCTGATTATTATAGTTATGAGACTATAAATACGGATATGAGAATTGACATGCATGTGCATTGCATTCATCAAACACTTGAATTAATTGTGTGAAAAGCATATGTCTTGTTGCATGCATCATGGTCCTCACGGTTTTGAGAGGTATAGATGGAAAAATGTTTTCGAAATTTATCATTTGTGTGAGCATGCATCATCTAGGCATGCCGAAGGTACCCGGCAAGAGCACCCTGGCTCCGTGCGCATAGGTTCCTTGGATATTCAGCTTTGTGAGCCAAAAAGAATATCACTTGGAGTTTTGTTAGCATGTGCACCTTAGTGCTATGGACATGCGTTTTGGCGTTATATACGCGCTTTGACTAACACCTAACCCATATGTTACATTTTGTAAGTCTTTATTTAAATCCATACTGTTGCATTACTGGCTGAGTTACCGCATTACTGGGATTATTCTCACCCCTTTGGGGGCTCATTTTCTATGAAAATGCAGGCGGACGAAAAAGCATTTAAAGGGTGATACAATGTTGACTGTTTGTGCTCTTGATTGGAAATTATTGGGCTTCATAAGTTGCTGGAATTGTTATGTATTAATTGCAAGACACTTTGGTTGCTGTTTCATTTATGTTCTCTTTTAATTAGAATACTGTAGAATATTATAAAAATCGTGCAATACAGACTGTTTTTAGAAGAAAATTTCCTAACGTTTTTAAAGCTTTGTCCATTGTTTTCAGTTCTTCAAAATAGTAAGTTCGATTCTTTTCAATCTGGATTGACTCTTAATAAATCTAACATCACAAACCACTCTAATAGCATTGAAGTATCATTCCTCTTGGACGCGTACAAGAGTGGGTGTTACACTAATGGTATCAGAGCCGTTTGATTCATGGTGCTTGTGTGTGTGTGATTGAATTGACTGTTTGGTTGTTTGCCTATTATTTAAGATATGAATTTGATTGATATTATGAGAATTGTTGCTGGCTAAATTATGTTGTTAGTCATATATATATATATATTGTTTTGTATGTCGTTGGCTGTTTTTAATTCCATATTTGTGAACAAATTTTTATGAATCAAATGATATATGTATGTCTGTTATGTAGTTTCGAAATTTAAGAGAAACTTTAGATTTGGAGTAGACAAATAATTAGGATTATGTCGAGGTAAGGACTGATGTATTGTTAACCTCGTTGTTAAGGAACTCGCATACCTACATGAGGCTGCTATTAATTATATCTTGCAGTGAGATTGATCACCTCATTTCTTGGTATGGTGAGTGCAGAATCATGGTACGTCCACGGGGACCTCAGCAAGAAGGACCTAGCAATGCACCAGAGGACCTTATCACGACAATTGGTGGTCTAGCCACTTTCGTTCAAAATATGAGTCAGGAATGGAGAGACTATGGGAATCACAATCCTAATCAGCATCCCACGCAAATTGACGAAGAAGAGGTTGCTCGTCGACGTCTGAAAGATTTTCGTAACTTCCAGCCACCAACTTTTGAAGGTGGAGATAACCCCGAGATGGCAGCGCATTGGCTACAGATGATAGAGCACATCTTTGAGCGTATGGACTGTCCCGAGGCGCAGAAGGTGAATTACGCCTCTTATCAACTTGTGGGCGAGGTACTGACTTGGTGGTGAGGAGCGATAGCATTGCTTGTAGCTCAAAATGTGGACCTTACCTGGGCTGTTTTCCGACGCGTCTTCCTCGACAAGTACTTCCCGAAGGCTTTGCGAAAAATGAAACATAAAGAACTCCTGTCTCTGCAGCAAAACAATATGACCGTCAACGAATACATTGCCAAGTTCGAGCAGCTGATGGAATATGCAAACTTCGATCGAACTATTTATGATGAGGAATGACAGATAGAGAGGTTCGAGAGTGGATTGCACCCAGAAATCCGCAAGCTCATTTTGTCCTCAGCAAACTGTACCCTTCCAGAGTTGATCAATGAAAGTCGGCAAGCGGAGGGAATCATTAATGACGCTAAGGCTTTGTCCAGGCAATCTGCACTACAGCAAGGAGGAAGCAGGATTGGGCGTTTCTTCAAAAAGTTCACCGGTCAGAATAAAGGCAAGGGCACACATATGCAGGCTCGCACCGGAAATTTCAAGAAGAACACTGCCACCGGACCATCTTCAGCTGGACGCCAGAGTTATCCTACCTGTACCTATTGTGGAAAGAATCATCCTGGAGCTTGCAGGCGCAAAAATAACTTATGTTACAACTGTGGAGAGTCGAGACCTTTTGCTGCTGACTGTCCCCAGAATACTAATCAAGCTCGTCCTAATCAGCCTCCGACCCAAGGCCGCGTGTTTACGCTAGATGCGAATGAAGCCAGGAAACATCCAAATTTGATCCAAGGTAATGTAATCTTGAATGGTTACCCTATTTCTGTTATATTTGACTCTGGAGCTACTGGTTCTTTTATTGCGGAATATACTGCTTTGAGACTGGGTATCACCCCAGCTCCCTTACCTTTTGATATGCACATTCACACTCCTGCGGGAGGATATTGTACTGCCGCGGGAATTTGTAGAGGCGTCATTCTTCAGTTCGAAGGGAGGACATACACTATCAATTTGGTGGTTCTTCCTGTGTTTAGTATTGAGATGATTATTGGCATGGATTGGTTGTCGGAGAATAACGTGAAGCTGGACTGTCAAGCTGGAAAGGTTATCGTACCACCTCTGAACGATAATTCTCTATTCTTTTCTACTATTTCCTTATTGCAAGTCCGTAAAGAGCTACTTCGAGGAGCAGAAGGATATCTGTTGCTTTCTCTATCTGAAGATGCTGTTGATGTTTCACTTCGTAATATTCCCATTGTTAATGAGTTCGTTGAAGTGTTCCCTGATGAAATTCCTCAAATACCTCCACATCGGGAGATTGAATTTCCAATTGAACTTCTTCCGGGAGTTGGACCTGTCTCCATTGCTCCTTATCGTATGTCTCCGTTAGAATTGCGAGAACTCAAGAAGCAACTTGAAGAGTTATTGTCTTAGGAGTTTATCAGGCCCAGTACTTCACCGTGGGGTGCTCCTGCTATTCTAATCAAGAAGAAGGATGGTAGTCTTCGTCTCTGTGTGGACTATCGTCAACTGAACAAGGTTACAGTGAAGAACAAGTATCCACTCCCGAGGATTGATGATCTGATGGACCAGCTACGCGGTGCAAAAGTATTTTCAAAGATTGACTTAAGGTCGGGATACCACCAGATCCGGGTAAGACCAGAAGATATTCCAAAGACAGCTTTCAGAACCCGTTGTGGACACTATGAATACCAGGTGATCCCTTTCGGACTCACTAATGCTCCTGCGGTATTCATGGATTACATGAACTGTATCTTTCGTCCATTCTTGGATCAATTTGTCATCGTCTTCATTGATGATATTTTGATTTACTCTACATCGGAGGAGTTGCATGCTGAACACCTGAGAATCGTTCTACAAATTTTGAAGGAGAAACAGTTGTACGCCAAGTGGTCAAAATGCGAATTCTGGTTGACTGAAGTGCAGTTTTTGGGTCACGTGATTTCTGCAGATGGCATTGCCGTAGACCCTAGCAAGGTGGAAGCCGTGATGAGTTGGGAGCGGCCTAAGACTGTTACTGAAGTAAGAAGTTTCTTGGGGTTAGCTGGCTATTATCGTAGGTTCATCCAAAACTTTTCTCAATTGGTGAAGCCTCTTACTAGCCTCACTCGGAAGGATATACCTTTTGAGTGGACTGATGCGTGTGAAGAATGTTTCTTGGAGCTTAAGACAAGATTGACTAGTGCACCAGTTCTTACTATTCCAGACCCTACAAGGAAGTTTGAAGTTTATTGTGATGCCTCATTGAGGGGTCTTGGTTGCGTGTTGATGCAAGATCGCATGGTTGTGGCCTATGCGTCATGGCAGTTAAAAACTCATGAGGAAAATTACCCAACCCACGATTTGGAGTTAGCAGCTGTGGTATTCGCATTGAAAATCTGGAGACATTATCTGTATGGTGCACAATTTGATGTTTTCAGTGATCACAAAAGTTTGAAGTATCTGTTCGACCAGAAGGAGTTGAATATGAGGCAGCGTCGGTGGATGGAATTTTTGAAAGACTATGACTTTGAGTTGATGTACCACCCCGGGAAGGCAAATGTAGTGGCTGATGCCTTGAGTCGTAAGACTCTTCATACTTCTACAATGATGATGGAGGAGATGAAAATGTTTGAAGCTTTCCGAGATATGAATTTGTCTGTTACCCGAAGGAAGCATAGCATAAGGTTGGGAATAATACGAATTGAGAATGAGCTTATTCGTCGTATAAGAAGAGCACAGAGAGATGAGGGACTAGTTCATAAATTTGCTGGTCACCAAGATGTCTCTTGGGATGAGAATAAAGTGATGAGGTATCAAGGACGGTTGGTAGTGCCAAATGAAGAGATTAAACAAGAAGTGTTACATGAAGCCCACAAGGGTAATTACTCGGTGCATCCAGGATCCACTAAAATGTATCATGACTTGAAGACTTCTTTCTGGTGGCCTGGTATGAAACAGGATATTGCGGAGTATGTGGCTCGATGCTTGACGTGTCAGAAGGTAAAATTTGAACATCAGTAACCCTCAGGACTTCTACAGCCTCTGGAAATTCCAGAGTGGAAATGGGACAGCATAGCGATGGATTTCGTTGTTGGACTTCCTAGGACGCGGGAAGGTTATGACGCCATTTGGGTAATTGTTGATCGGCTTACCAAGTCAGCACATTTCTTGAGCGTTCGTACTACTTACGGCACCGAGAAGCTTGCACAAGTCTATTTACGGGAGATCGTGAAGTTGCACGGAGTTCCAACAAGTATCGTCAGTGATCGTGATCCGAAGTTTACTTCGAGGTTCTGGGAGTCCTTTCAGAAGGCTCTTGGGACTCAATTAAGATTGAGCACTGCTTATCATCCGCAGACGGACGGTCAGACGGAAAGAACTATCCAAACGCTGGAAGACATGTTGCGTGCTTGTGTTCTGGAGCAAGGTGGTAGTTGGGACAAATATCTTCCATTGTGGAGTTTGCATATAATAATAGTTATCATTCTAGTATCGGGATGGCTCCCTACGAAGCCTTGTATGGGAGAAAATGTAGATCACCTTTGTGTTGGACTGAAGTTGGAGAAAGACATTTTCTAGGTCCCGAAATGATTCAAGAAGTGTCAGATCAGGTACAGATGATTAAAGAGAAGATGCAGAGGGCTCAGGCAAGACAGAAGAGTTATTATGATAATCGTCACAAGCCTCTATCGTTTGACGTAGGAGACCATGTATTCTTGAGGATCACACCGACTTCTGGACTAGGCAGGAGAATGGGGATGAGGAAGTTGAGTCCTCGTTACTTGGGACCCTTCCTTATTCTTGACAGAATTGGTGAATCAGCTTATCGTCTAGCCTTACCACCCAACCTAGCCGTACTCCATGACGTCTTCCATGTTTCTCAGTTAAGGAGATATATCTATGACTCATCGCATGTGTTGCAGCCTAAGGACGTGAAACTCAGAGAGAACCTAACTTATTCCGTACGTCCGTTACAGATTCTTGAAAGATCCATCAAACGTCTACGCTCAAAGGAAATTCCCCTGGTGAAAGTTCAATGGAACGATAGGACTGCCTACGAGACGACGTGGGAACGTGAAGATGAAATGAGAAGCTTATACCCGGAATTATTTGAATAGGTACGTCATTCCAATTTTGCGGACAAAATTCAATTTAAGGTAGTGAGAGTGTAACAACCCATAAACGTTCACAATTACTTGAACATGATGAGAACACTAGTATAGGACTTTGGGGTATTTAGTTAGGCCTTGCGAGCACTTTGCGAGTTCTGTTTCGAGGGGCAAACGACCTCCGATTCGTTATTATTTTATATGCACACGTAGCCCCACGTGTCTAGTATCTGATTACAAAAACTTTACAATTGAATTTTGAGAACTTGATTTTATTTGAATTTTTAGAGACAGCATGATCGGCCAGGAAAAATAATAATTTCAGCACTTTAAGAAATTTGAAAGCGTACAATAAAATATAGACATTAACATTTAGCAAAATCCCTAGGGCTAAAACCTTTTATTACTTAATAAACTACATAAAATAAATGGATACATATTGGTGGAGATTATATGGTGGGCTTCGGCCCTAGCTTTGTTGTAGTGAAATATTCATGTGTTTAAAGTTTGAATTGAACCTAAAGACTAACCCTTTAGGCCCATTAACATTAAGTCTCATCCAGCCCAAAAGAAACCTTGATCACCTAAGTAACTATAGAAAAAATTAAATCAAAATACTAAGTGAATGGCTGATTGGTTGCATGACATTGTGTGGTCTACCTTTTGCCCTCTTTTGCGCCAATCATCACAAGAAAAGGGCTGTCATGGGTGGTCAAATTAAGTCTGAAAAGTAGCCTCACTTCCTTCAAAATTATGATGCCTTGTAGAGAAGACAAACCTGAAAAAAAAATCTGCGCCTATAGCTTGGCATGCATGACTGCCAAAGCTGATTTCTTTCACCAAAAATCTGATTGCTTGCAAGCCTTGTGAGCAGAATTTTTAACCAATCAAATTGCATGCAAATGAAAAAGCAACTCCCCTAATCCTTCCCTCTTGTACTCATGCGCTGACCTCTTTCTTTGTGACCAAAAAATTTATGCTCCACCTACACCTCCTTGCAATTTAAAAACATCAAAGCCTTACCTTGCCTAACCATACGCTGCACATCAATGAACTCCCAGGAAAACTTGGACAACCACACTACTTCCTCCTCTCTTGTGCGCTAGCAAGAGAGGTAAGATACCATATCTGTTTCTTGCTCATTCCTTCATTAATCTTGTGTTAAACTTCAGCCATACAAGCAAAGAAGATAATCAAGTTTTGGAGAAGGAAATCTCTTCTTTTTCCTCGGTTTTCCATCATCAAGGAGGTAATCCATTTTTCTCTATCTCCTTGACCAGCCCTATCTCTTCTTTTCGGTTCTAATGAAGAGCTTTCCCTTGCATGTAGCTACAACTTGAACTTATTGCTCTAAGAAAACAACTTCTTTACGCTCTCAAGTTTTCCTCCAAAGTATCCTAGTATAGCCTTGCAAAGAACATGTAAGTACCCTCTTCCCTATTCTTCTATGCTTCGGTTCACGAGGGTATAAGGGTAGGAGTATTCCTTTCACTTTATCCTTGTTATCTCTAGTTGCATGTGGATAGAAGATGGATAATAAAATGTTGATAACTCTCTACCTTATAGTACTCAAGAAATGGAAATAAGAAAATGTATTGATGGGGGCTTAAAACCGTAGCACTTAAGTGAATAGAGAATGATTAGCTTTCTGTTTTGTTGAATGTTAAATAGGTACAAAAGCTCCTAGGAACTCTCATTGATTTGGAGACTCTATTGGTTAAGTATCTCAAAGATTATGTAAGTGCTTGGTGATTTAACCTTCTGTGACTATGGAATCTAAGCATTGAATTGCTTATATGTGACATATGTGCCTTATATGAATTTGAGTTTTGCGAAATATTGATCCTACTTGTTGGCACAATCCGTTCTGATTATTATAGTTATGAGACTATAAATACGGATATGAGAATTGACATGCATGTGCATTGCATTCATCAAACACTTGAACTAATTGTGTGAAAAGCATATGTCTTGTTGCATGCATCATGGTCCTCACGGTTTTGAGAGGTATAGATGGAAAAATATTTTCGAAATTTATCATTTGTGTGAGCATGCATCATCTAGGCATGCCGAAGGTACCCGGCAAGAGCACCCTGGCTCCGTGCGCATAGGTTCCTTGGATATTCAGCTTTGTGAGCCAAAAAGAATATCACTTGGAGTTTTGTTAGCATGTGCACCTTAGTGCTATGGACATGCGTTTTGGCGTTATATACGCGCTTTGACTAACACCTAACCCATATGTTACATTTTGTAAGTCTTTATTTAAATCCATACTGTTGCATTACTGGCTGAGTTACCGCATTACTGGGATTATTCTCACCC